GTCACAAGAAATGGAAAAGCTTTTGAAATCAGAAAGACAACTAACCCAAAACTGCTCTTGGTCAGGAAAAGCTTCCACCCCAAGGGTGCCCCACGTTTCCGAGGGCTGAGCACCCCGATGGGTCCAGAGCTGCAGCTCCTGCTGGACAGCAGCAGGTCTAGGGCAGCTTCACCAGCGTAGCTGCCAGCGCCGCCCCGCCTGCCACTGCTCAGCCGCTGCCCTATGCAGCACTGTCCTCTGCCTGTTGTGACACCCACTTCAGGCATCCACAGCCTGTGGCTGAGGAGCCTGTGCTGTGGAGGCAGGGCTCCAGGCTTTGGACTGTCCTGACACACTGTCTGCAGCCAACCACACACCTCCCTGGTGGCCAGGAGCTCTTGGGAAATATCCTGCCTGGCAACAACCCTCATAACAGCTTCAAATCAACCACTTCTGTCTAGGCCACAAAGGAAGGCATGTGTGTGATTGCACATGGAGGTGGCTCTCTGTGTGACAGGGCATGCCTGTGTGCGTATACCCAGTGTGCACATACCCAAGAGTGTTTGTTGGAGTAAAGTTCCCAGAACCAGGTTCAGAATACAATCCACAGTTCTCCTGGACTTGGTGCACACAAAGTTACCTCTGCTTAAGACTGCACAGTCCGCTCAGAGGCGTGCCTTGCTCACCTGCTGCTTCAGCTGGTCCTCATAGCGCTGTCGGGCCAGCTTGTCCTGGTACTGGGCCCTCTAGGGAGAAGAGCAGAAGGGTATTCCTGTCTGGAGCAGTCACCGGATAGGCAGAAGCCAGTCTGGCCCCAGCTTTGACTAGGTGTGGAGGCCTCATGACCCCTCCCCATCCCAACATGAGCCGCAAGGTGGACTGGATCAGCACCTGGGCAATCCATCTGCTTGGAGTTCATGCAGGGCATTCCGGGGAGTGAAACAATACGCACACTAGCAGATCCTCCATTTGTCAATAACAAAGAGACCCGGAGCTCCACCAACCCTCCCAGCCCTCTGCACAGGCCCCACTTGCGCTCACAGCCTGGTGCTGCCGTGTCTCTTCGCTCAGTGTCTTCCTCCTCTCCTCAGCCTGCACTCGGATCTGCTCGCCCTTCAGCTGCTCCACAGCCGCCTCGTACTCCTGCAGAACACACAGCCCAAGGTGTCCCGAGAGCCTCTCACAGCCCAGCCCAGCCCAGCGTGTCCTGAGAGCCTCTCACAGCCCAGCCCAGCCCAGGGTGTCCTGAGAGCCTCTCACAGCCCAGCCCAGCCCAGGGTGTCCGAGAGCCTCTCACAGCCCAGCCCAGCCCAGCCCAGCCCAGCCCAGGGTGTCCGAGAGCCTCTCACAGCCCAGCCCAGCCCAGGGTGTCCCTAGAGCCTCACCCAGCCCAGGATGGCCCGAGAGCCTCTCACAGCCATGAAGTAGCAGGCTGGCAGCATCAACACCAGGCCAGCAGGTCTGTGCAAAAGGCCCAGCAAGGTAGGGGCAGTTCTGACAATGTACCCTGGACTGACCACCCACATATCCAAGACTCTCAGCTCTACACCAAGGCCAAGGACTGAAAGAATCCAGTGGTAGAGTGTTAGCCTTGAGCAAAAGAAGCCCAGGCCCTGAGTTCAAGCCCTAGGACTAACAAACAAACAAACAAAAGTAATATGAAGCGATAGCTTCTCTGTACAACACCTTAATAGTAACAATACTACTTTAAACTACTTTAAAAACATATATATGTTTATAAGCACTGGCTGTGCACACCTGTAATCCTAGCTACTCAGGAGCCTGAGATCTGCCAGCCCAGGCAGGAAAGTCCATGAGACTCATCACCAATTAACCACCAGAAAACCAGAGTGGAGCTATGGCTCAAAGTGGTAGCACACTAGCCTTAACACCCCCCCAAAAAAATCCCTTCCAAATAAATCTCTCTCATCATCCAAGGTGGGGAAAAGAGTCATGCTGAACACAGAGAAACAAGGGAAGGAGTCACTGAACAGGAGACAGGAGACACCCCTCATGGAAGCCTACCCGCTGGCTCTGTCGCACAGACTCAGCCCCATATCCGGCGCATCTCTGCCTACCCTGTGATCTTTGTGAAATGGAGTACGAGGCCCTCAACCAGGCCCAGCACGGTCGCCCACTCCTTCCCGCAGCTCACCTTGAGCTTAGACTGCTGTTCCAGCTGCAGTGTCTGCTCCTGCATCTGTGCCAGACTCAGTGCCTCCTTGGCATGCCCTGTGGGGTACAGAAGAAAGGTTCTTACAACACTTGAGTGAGGCTGGCAGAGACATGTGTGTGCTGGTGGGAAAGTATGCTTTAAGAAAAGAGGCTTGGTGGGGGAGGAGGGGAGATGGGAAGGGATGGGAAGGGGAAACAAAGGAGGAGGCTACAATGCTTGGTAAGAAATGTACTCATTACCTTACCCATGGAATTGTAACCCCTCAGTATGGTATTTTCACACACAAAAAAAAACAAAAACAAAAAAAGAAAAGAGGCTTTCCAGAAACCACAGCCTCACCTCCACCTGGAAACATTTGGGCTGCTTTTTCAACCTGCTTTGACTGCCCATCCTCATTCCTTATAGACCTCTCAAAATGAACTCCCTCCCATCAACAGAAAGCTTGGCTTCAGCCCCAGAGGATCGTCGGAAATGCCACCAGAAAGCTGGGTGCTGGTGGCTCAAGCCTGTAATCCTATCTACTCAGGGGGCTGAGATCTGAGGATCACAGTTCAAAGCCAGCCTGGGCAGGAAAGTCCATGAGACTCATCACCAATTAACCACCAGAAAACCGGAAGTGGTGCTGTAACTCAAAGTGGGAGAACACTAGTCTTGAGCTGAAGAGCTGAGGGACAGTGCCCAGACCCAGAGTTCAAGTCCCACGACCACCATAACCAACAACAGCAAAAATGCCACCAGATGGCCCATCCAGGAGTGACAAGGAGGAAAGTACAAAAGGCTGTCAGGACCCGGTCTTGTAGGTCACAGGGACACTTCCAGGCAGGAAGGTCACCACGACAATGAGGCCACCAAGAGCCACAGATCACTGGGCTTCAAGGGGGGGAGGGAGGGCTGGCCCCAGGCCCGCCCCTTTCCTCAGGCCCACCGTGCAGACAGCCCGCCCCCGGGCCCACCCCCCATCTGATTCCGACTCCTGTCCCTCCCCCTCCCTTCCTCCTCCAGGGGCGCCTTCCCCTGCAGCCCGCCCCCTCCTCAGCCCCACGTGGTTCCTGCCCACCCCCCCTTCGGCCACCGTGGATCCTGCCCGCCCCCCAGGCCCGACCCCTCCTCGGCTCCGTGGATCCTGCCCGCCCCCCAGGCCCGCCCCGCCCCGGGCCCCCGTGGATCCTGCCCGCCCCCCAGGCCCG